ACTCCTCGGGATGATGTTCTTATTGACATTGATGACAAAGAACCTCTCATTCCAGTCCAGGTAATCCCATGGGGGTGGTAGTGGTGGAAGAAGTGCCGTGTTTTCCTGAAAAGAAGACAGGATCTTATATTAATTTTTGCTCCAAAAAAAACATGCATTAGGGCTGATTTTCATGGGGATGTTTTATTTTATTTTTGTCATGTACAACCATCTACATTTATTCAAATACAGCCCTGTCCTCCTCTTCTGGTTGCTGCACCAGGGTGGAGGGCGGAGGTTTCACTTAAGTGGGGATTATTCTTGGGGTAGGGCTTTTATGACGAGCATCCTGAAAAAATCCTACTAGGCCTTATTTTCAGGTTAGGTCTTATTTTCGGGGAAACAGGGCAACTCCCAACCACGGAGCCCTCTAGCCAGCATGCTGTGTCAGTTTAAATGTCCTGGAAAAGAGTGTGTTACAAGAAATTGAATAGCTTGCAACCAGGGGCAGTTCCTTGGAAAATCCATTTCTCTCCAGGAACTGTGAAGAACGCAGGTACATTCGGGGGGGAGGGGGAGGAAAGGCCGGAAGGATGGTGGCTGATGCCGCAGCCTGGGCTGGCTAGAAGGCTCCGCTGGTCTCCATTCAGCCTCCCTCCATTCCCCCCCCAATCTTGCATCTCTGTGGAACGTAACTCTGTCACCTCCGATTTTGACATTCCTGCCGAGGGAATCTGCCAGGGGATCCCAGTGCCTAGAAGGGGCATCAAAGCCTTTTCACCACAGCTGGATCAAGGTTGCTTTCCTGGATGACCTTTTCTAACATTTCCCCACCACCACCAAGCTGGCATGTCTTGAGAGTAGCCGTCTCCAAGCTCTGCTCCTTGCCAAGGGGCCCTGAAGTTGTCTCGGGGGTGTAACCAACCAACCAACCAACCAACCAACACCCCCTCCCATTGGTACAAGCACTATTCTGGATGCTTTACAAGATTAAAACGTAAAACCTTTCAAATCCCACAATAACAAAAATACCTTTTCTTTTAAGTATATTTATTTATTTAGAATACTTATGTCCTGCCCTGTATTGCAACATTTCAGTGTGGGGTATAACAAGTGCCCATTTTTGTGTTTACAATACTAGTCACCTGTGTCAACAGTTTAACAGCACGCTTTTATCCCCCATTCTGCCCCCATTACTGCACATGAGATCTATAGGACAACACACACACACACGTGCACGCACACGCACACACACACACTCATCCGTCTCTGTTCCAGGAGCATTTGGGAGTTATTCTCTTTATCTTCTCCAAGAGAATGATAAGATATGCAGATCATCAAAGATCTAAAAGGGGAGCCATGGGAAAGCTGCATCTTTGAAGTACGGACCTTGGGATGAAAACTCAGGGGCTGTTCAAAGTTGCTTGTTTGTTTCTTGGTTCTTTAAAGACTAGCAAGTTTGTTTCTGTCCAAGCTTCTGTGGAGTTCACAGAAGTGGTAGCCCCCACAAAAGCAATCCTTCCCATCCCTGTTTAAGGGGGAATCTAAGAGCCCTTCAATGGAGAGCGTTTGTTCCATCTCCAGTACAGATAGAGGATTGCTCTCGACCCATGTATAGACCAATCCACCCTCGTCGTTGCCAACGTGCCTCTGGGTCCAATGCCTGCTCTTTGAGTTCTGTGGAGTTCACAGAAGTGGTAGCCCCCACAAAAGCAATCCTTCCCATCCCTGTTTAAGGGGGAATCTAAGAGCCCTTCAATGGAGAGCGTTTGTTCCATCTCCAGTACAGATAGAGGATTGCTCTCGACCCATGTATAGACCAATCCACCCTCGTCGTTGCCAACGTGCCTCTGGGTCCAATGCCTGCTCTTTGAGTCTTTATCACGTTAGCCAACAGACCCGCCAACGTCCCTCTGGGTCCAATGCCTGCTCTTTGAGTCTTTATCACGATTCTGGTCACTGCGTCCACTGTCGCTTCTGAGAGATCCATTTCCCCTTCTCTGGACAACATCTTGGTGGCCTTCCTTCACCCAAGCCTTATCAACTCTCCACATCCACCCTCTCTTGTTCTTGAGAGATCCCACTTCAAAGGGAACAGGGACGAAAGGTTATCCGAGTGGAATCGCTTTGGAGTGCCTTTGGACACGGCCCAGGACAGGATGTTCCCATCCCAGGACAGACAGGAAGGGGTCAGGGGGCTCTCCGAGGATGTGTTTTGGTGTTTTTAGGCTGCATGGATTTGTCTCAAGTCTCTGGGAAGGCCTGCTTCTTGCCAGGAGATGCTAAACTGGGCTCTGGCTTGTGCCAGTCTCTCCCCCAGGCGTCTTCTGTCCCTTTCAGCCGAACATCACCAACAGGAGGTCTCGTTCTCTTCCTGTCGTGCGGAATGTGCAAGATTTTGGAAGATGCCTTTTGTGGGACACTGTCTCAGAGGTGACTCATGGCTAGGACTTGGAAACATGGCATTTAGGACCGGACCCTCCAGAATCTCCCAGCCAGCCTTTGACCCCTGTACTGGCGGTGGGGGGGGTTTCTGGGAACAGAGGTCTAGACACAGAAGGCTTCCTTCTCTGGCCATGACGGGTGGCCCTTTGCTTGATCAAGTGGCTTCCTGGGAAGAATTTGGCACCGTGAGGTTCTTGAAAATCAGGAAAACCCATGGGGGGAGGGGGAGTATCAGTGTGTTGGCGCTGAGGGTTGTCAAGCAGACGTTATTTCAGCCCCAGGAGGATTGGTTACATCATCTGCATGTCTTTAAACACAGGGACCCCATTTTGGCGAAGGTTTATATGTAAATCATAAGCCTGCCTTGGGTCCTTTTGAGGAGAAAAGTGGGATTAAAAAATTAAATAATTAAATGAGAATAAAAGTTGGTTCCAGGAAGCTACCCAGATGCTAACCCTACTCAGAAGCCGGTCTGGCATTTGAGCCAGCTTAAATATGTTGCCCCGCTAGAGGGCTTAAGGGCAGGCAGGCTCAGTCTTGGGACATGAAATGGAGTTTACCCCCCGTCTGGATTTTGGTGAGTATTGAAGAAGTCAGGATTTCCACTTTGGGCCTCTTTCCAACTCGGGTTCAAAGGGTAAAGCTGGGAGTGCGGCAAACATGCCTTGAAGGCAAGAAGGAGAAGAAGGGGACTTGTTTCATGTTGGAGGTCTTGAAAAACTCATGCAGATGTCATGCAGATGTAGCATTTGCTAGGGCCTAGAACATCACCTCCTGGCAAATAGAAGGGGACGATATGGAGGCGGTGACAGATTTTACTTTCTTCGGCTCCATGATCACTGCAGATGGAGACAGCAGCCATGAAATTAAAAGATGCCTGATTCTTCGGAGGAAAGCTATGACAAACCTTGACAGCACCTGAAAAAGCAGACACATCACCTTGCTGACAGAAGTCCGCATAGTCAAAGCTATAGTTTTTCCTGTAGTGTTGTATGGAAGTGAGAGCTCGACCATGAAGAAGGCTGACCGCCCAAGAATTGATGCTTTTGAATTGTGGTGCAGGAGGAGGCTCTTGAGAGTCCCCTGGGCAGCAAGGAGAACAAACCTATCCGTTCTGAAGGAAATCAACTCTGAGTGCTCACTGGAAGGATAGATCCTGAAGCTGAGGCTCCAATCCTTTGGCCATCTCATGAGAAGAGAAACCTTGAAGGTTCTTGCCAAGGCCACTGGGATTAGGGGCCACAATATGTTCAAGATACAGTTTGCACTGGTTACTAGATTTTAGATTAAGCATCCTTCAGTCTCGAGAGACCATGGGAATGTGCTCTGTATGGAGGGCTTGGAACTGCATCTAGTGTGGCTGAGGAGGCCAATTCGAGAGTGACAATCTCTTCCACACTGAAGACAATCTGTCCCCTGTCCAGCTTTCTGTTTTGGCTAGTTTCAGGACTGCCTCTTTGCCTTGGCCTGCTGGACAAGGGTCTCTTCAAAATGGGAGAGGCCATGATGCACCACCTGCCTCTTTATTGTAAACCGCCCAGAATGGCCTTTGGCCTGTGGCTGAGGAGGCCAATTCGAGAGTGACAATCTCTTCCACACTGAAGACAATCTGTCCCCTGTCCAGCTTTCTGTTTTGGCTAGTTTCAGGACTGCCTCTTTGCCTTGGCCTGCTGGACAAGGGTCTCTTCAAAATGGGAGAGGCCATGATGCACCACCTGCCTCTTTATTGTAAACCGCCCAGAATGGCCTTTGGCCAGATGGGCATTATATAAATGCAACCAACCAACCAACCAACCAACCAACCAACCAACCAACCAACCATCCAAACAGAAATGCCCTTCCCCAAGAGTCAGCAGCAGATGAAAATGGGGACCTCACACCCCTTTGAACTTGTGCATCCCTTTTAGTATTAAAATCAACCCCTCACACACATACACTTTATACGGGAAGGCAGAGCTTTGGAACGTTACCTCTCTTTGCCTGTAGCTCTCAGCATCTCCCAGCCAGCACGGTTACTGGGAGCTGTGGCTGAACATAGTAGGTTTTCCCAAATGCTGCATGAATGACAGGCTGGTGTGCCATCACATCTGTGGAGCCCCTCTGTAACCGTCTTCTCTGTGGTACGATCATCTGCTTGTCTTTGTCTTGTTTGGATAAAGGAGGTGACATTTGGGTTCCAAATCCTGACCTTGCTCTTGCCATTACATGTCCGACGTGTGTTTGTCTAACCTCATCACTAATCAATCGTTTTAATTTGTAGCCTGCAGACGGCATGACCAGCTCAGCTTTAATTAACATGCAAACGTCTCGGGTCGATCTCCATGTATGTATTGCTTCATTTTCTCACCTAATTACCTGAATGTAATTCTTTTATTCCTTTTTATTTTTGAAACCTGCTTTTTTAAAAAAAGCTACAGTGTAAAAATTAACCAGCCGTTGGAACTGGGTTGTGTCAGCCTAGCATGCTTTCAAGCAACTCAGAAGTATGAAAAAACTGAGCCCCAAGTGTCTCAACTTTCTCTTGACATTAAAGGACAATTAGAGAATTAGGGCCATTGAATGAGATTCTTCAGTTCATCTGTGAACCAAAGTCATTTCCACTGCTGCAACGTCAGGAAATCCGAATCGTGAAAGCAGGATGGTTGTCGGGTAAAATCAACCAAGAGTCTCCCTTATCCCTTTACCTTGGGGTAGAAGTGTACATGCAGATTGCTTTTGTTGACAGGCTTTGTGTTGAATGTGTGCAAAGGTTTTACCTCTGGGAATCACACACCCGCATGACAATGCTTGGAGGGGAAGATATGACTTTAGTTTTTGGCCAAGAACTTGGAAAAATATCTTTAACTTTTTCAAAAATCATTTATTTTTCTTATTTATAGGCCGCCTTTCTTCAAAAAAGGGAACCCAAGGCTGCTCACAATAATAACATAATAGAATTAAAGACATGATAAGTCAAACATTAAAAAACAATTAAACTGCACGCTAATTTTAAAATACAAATGAATAATTAAAAGCAAGTAAACACTAAAAGCTGTCTTAACTTTAGAAGGGCATTCAGGGACTCAATCATGATTGTTAAAATGACTGTGTTTTTGGACTACAACTGACACGAGCCCGCAGCTGTCCATATGGCTGGGGGGGGGGCATTTCCTGAAATTGGATAGTTGGATAACGTTGATCCAAAGTTGGTTATCAAACCTCCTTTCGGTCTTCTCTGCTCCAGGCTCAGCCTGCTTCCACTGTCTCTGGCAGGGCTTGGTTTCCAGACCTTTGACCATCTTGGTTGCTCTCCTCCGGACACAGGTGGTCCAGGTCCTTCTTGAACCTTCTCAGCCCTGTAGCCCAAAGGAGTGACCTTTCCGAGCTTCACTTTAAACTCACGTGAAGGAAAGGATAGAGGCTGGCCGTCCTTGAGTTAGGCTGAAGAGGCCACCGCCTGTAGTCAGTGGGGTCACAGGAGTCTCACCAATTCTTCTTGATAGCTTCTCGGGAACTTTGGCCCTGTTCTGAAGCAGGGAGAAGGCAGGATGTTCTCTTTTGTGTTGTCTTTCAAGGAGAGGAGAGCATTCCCATTTTTGCCAAATTAAAACATTGCAAGCCCTGACAGCAAAGTATTCTCGAAGGCTTTCATGGCCGGGATCCGATGGTTGTTGTGGGTTTTTTGGGCTCTTTGGCCGTGCTCTGAAAGTTGTTCTTCCTAACGTTTTGCCCGTCTCTGTGGTCATGGGCATCTTCAGAGGACAGGAGTCGGAACTCTGTCTGTGCTCTGTTGCAGTTTGTTGAATAGTTGAGTATTTAGAGTTGTGGGAACAGCTTTTGTCCTTTTCAGGAGATTGGGTGATTATGGTGATCAGCGTGTTTTGGTTGTGGGTGTATTGTTGTGATAAGGGGGAGAGATGATCTACTGTGATCAATGGGTGTCGTTAGCTGGTCTTTTGTGTGCAACAGAGCACAGACAGAGTTCCTACTCCAGCCCTCTGAAGAGACCCATGGCCACAGAGACTGGCAAAATGTTAGGAAGAACAACCTTCAAAACACAGCTAAAGAGCCCGAAAAACCCACAACAGCCAATGACCCTGACAGACAACTTGGCCTCAAGTCATTAATTTAAAACAGAGTGTGCCGTCAGAGGGCAGCCATTTACCTAGTCCGAAATGAAGGACCAAAGGAGACGCAGATTTCCATCAAGTGATACGTGATAAAGCATATATGCATGGATGCAAACTAAGAAATGGTTTGTTTAATTTGAAGAACATTTAGACCCACCTCACCTGAGTTGCGGAGACCCAGACCAGCTGACCTAGGGGCCTGCTGAGTTTGCTGTGGAGGGCCCTCTTCAGGGGCCCTGATCCTCCTCCTCCTCCTGCTCCTGGTTCTTTCTCTTTTGACCAGACTTGGGCCAAAATAGAGGCTGTTTCCCAACAGAGGACTGCATTTTTCGAAAAAAGGGCTGGTGGTCGTGGGCACACGTAGCTGACGAAGAAGGCCAGGAGATGTTTTCCAAATGCGCTCATGGGTCTGAGGAGGAAGACGTAGGCTTCTGGAATGCGCTTGTTTCTAAAGGCAGGGCTGTGGCACTTGGGAAGAAGTTTCGTGGAGCTTAACAGATTTCACAGATAAATTTCTAGGCACCGAAAGCGTAAGGGTGGTTAAGACGAGAGAGGGAAGGTCTGTTTAATTGCAAAGCCAACATTAATGTACAAATCAGCTGAAAGACTGATTGGAGAGCCATCTCTCTGGAAAGCGTGCGGGTCTCCCAATCCAGCCCGGCCTTCTGGTGTCTCTTAACAAAAATAAGCCATTAAGTGACAAGTTAGCACGTGAAACATGAGCCAGAAAACATACAAGCAGAAATCTGTAAACTATTTGGAGTAATTGGTTATTTGCTGCGCTTGCTCGTCTCCCCATCGGAGCACATAGTTTATGGCCTCTCTGGTTACCCTTCCCTGGAAGAGCCACCGGGATCAAATATCGCCGGCTGAAGCCTGACAGCTGACACCCGATCCGGGGAGACCAGGGAAGGGACAGGGAGGTGCCAGGCTGGCATTCCTGTGGCTGCCTCCCATGAAGGCAACCGCATGGGGGGGAGGGGCCTCCCCGGGCTCTGCCACGCGCAGGCTTTAGGAGGGCTCCTGGACCCCGGAGAGAAGCATCCAACGAGCCTCGCCTCTCTTCTCACGGATGCAGCCCGGAACCTGGGGAGCTCTCCTGCACGTGTGCCACTGGAACGCATGGAAACTGCTCTGGGACGCTGTCGCGAAGGAGAATTTCTCAACCAACGATGCTCCTGGCTCAATTCTTAACTTTTCTCTGTTGCTCTTCTGCCCATTTGTGGCGGACTGAAGGCTGGGATTCCCAACTGACCTTGTGTGCTGCTAGAGAGGTGTACCCAGGTGGCCTATGAGCTAGGGGCCTCTCCAGCTGAAGAGGTTCCCTGCCGCCTCTCTGCATGATTCAGGCTTCACTGCAGGACTGGCCAATTGCTGTGCCGCTTACTTCCCTTGGGTGCCATCATTGGAGGGCTCTGCTACTCCCAGTGGGGCAGCTCTGCTAAGGGAACCCAGTGTTGTCAGAGGAGGGTCTTCATTGCCTCTCTGTCTGAGTCATCGGAGGCTCATGCAGAAACAGGGAGGAGGTCAGAAGGACAGAAGCAGCTCCACCATTCTTACAGTGTAAGAGTGAAGTAGAATAAGATGGGGGCTTTTTGTTTTTGTTTTTGGACTGCAACTCTTTGAGCCCCATTGGCCACACTGGCAGGGGAATTCTGGGCATTGTAGTCTTTAAAAAAAACATCCCATGGTTGCAAAGCGAAGGAAAAAGGAATGTACGTCGATTTTGCCCTCAACCTGGGGTGAGTGGGAGGGATATTTAAGTGGGACCCCCTGTCTTCCTCCCGTTTTCTGAGGACATGATGTTTTGCAGGACATTTCAGTCTTGATGTGCAGACTCAACAGGAGCGGCCTTCTCCATTAACATTCCAACTGGTTTTCCTAGCCTTTGGCTTTAAGAACAAAACACAACAAACCATTTTTTCTCGGTAACATCACTCTAAAAAACAGAAGAAACCTCTAACCGTTTCTTTTCCTTTGGGGCTACAGAAGACACCAGAGGTAATTTGTCAAATCACAGAAAATGCTTCCTTTGTAATCCAGTACCTGTGGAATGTCTTAATAAAGCCATTTTGGCGAGAGAGTAACCTTTAGTTTTTGGTTTTCTTTAATGGCAACACGGAAAGAGAGCCAGAGAGGGACCTTTATGTAATATTTCTGCAAAGACGAAAGGGGGGGGGAGGTGTCCTGTTGATGCGCTGCTTTGAGACGCAGCTGGACACCTCCCCACCATCTGGCTGGTCCTGAGACCCCATGAACCCTGGTTATGGCTTCCAGGTGAGGTCGGTGTGATGGAATTTTGTGGAAATCTTAAAAAAATGAGAGTATTTATTTGTGTAGGGATGTTGTGTTGCCAATTACACCTTTATCTTGGCTTCAGCCGGTTTAGCAACTGGTAATGATTTTAAAAATAATGTTTATAAAGAGAAAAAAGAAAAGCCCGATTCAGTCTCACATGCCGGGCAGTGCCTTTGAGAAGACGGGGCCGCTCAGAGTGGTATAGATTTACCAGTCCGATTCAGTCTCACATGCCAGGCAGTGCCTTTGAGAAGACGGGGCTGGTGTCTGGCATCCGGCCAGTCTTGCCCTCAGTTCTCTGCTGTGACTGGCAGGAGGTTTTGCCGTCGTCTGCTCCGTGATCTCGAACAAGGCCAGCTAATCTGGCAGCCGGCCAGTCTTGCCTTCAGTTCTCTGCTGTGACTGGCAGGAGATTTTGCCGTCGTGTGCTCCGTGATCTCGAACAAGGCCAGCTAAAAGGGACGGACCTCACTCTTCTTCTCCAGCGGCAAGGGGGAGGACTCGAACCCATGGCCTTAAGGGCCTACAGTCCTGTCTTCTCAAAATCCACTGGGATCGGCATGCGCTACGGGCCTTCCAAAAATTTGGGAAGGCTAGGCGTTCATCAGAACGTTCACCATCACCATAGAAGGAGAGTCCAAAATTACAGGCAGGTGGATGAGTCGTAGTAAATAGATGAGGAACGGGTCTTTGGTGAAGTTAACGGCCCTTAGTTGCCCATACAAGACCAAACGACAGGGACAGCTTCAGCAGAGCGCTATTTCTGTGAAAATGCACCTCTTTCTCTCCGAGACGGTAAGGACTGCTCCTCATCTCACAAAAAACAGCAAAGCCTCGGAGGGGTGGCGGATGATGCTGTAGTCCCGGCTACTGAGAAGGTCCTGGGGCTTCTACCCTCTGAGCCTTGGATCCATTCCATGTCTGCTTTTATATTCAGGGAATCTTGCTGCTCAGCAGTCCCAGGCTTTCCTTCCTTAGGCACTCTTTCTCAAACTGATCTTTCCTCGACTATGCTCACACCACCACAACAGTGGTGCGGTCTGTCTTCCTGATTCTTGGCCCTACCCAATTTCTCTCTCTACTTGTAGGAGGAAGAGTTCATTGACTGGTGGAGCAAGTTTTATGCTTCCACAGGAGAGCGAGAGAAATGTGGCCCCTACCTGGAGAAGGGCTACGACACGCTGAAGGTAACACTGGCCGGGGGAGGCTTTCCAGGGCAGCTTCCTGGGTTTGAGAAGAAGTGGATCAGGAAATGCAATGAGAGCATCTCAGATGCCTGGTTGGCACTGCAATGGGCTCAGGCGTGGGTCGTGCGGTTGGTGGGCATGATAAGGGCTCTCTCTTTGCCCAACCTAGTGTCAATGATAGGAAGCTGCTGGATGGTCTTGTCTGGTCCCTAAGAGAGAACCTGCTTGACTCCAGGGTCCAGAGTTCAACTTGGGCTCTCGACCTGCTCCTGGCAATGGGTAGGATCAGGGTCCATTGCTCCCTTGTCACAGTTTGGCCTGGACAGGGACAAGATGCTGCCTAAAGTGTTTGCAACCCATAATCCATGTGCTGTGCCCAATGGGGAGTGTTTCTCCATGGTACCCCCAGAATACAAGGTCAATGCTATGTTTCAGCACTTCTCAGCATGTGCATCCTTGGGTGACCACTCTGGGTCCTTGGGTGGGCAGCGTGGCACTGGATGCCCCCAAGTAACGGTCTCCTTAGGGAGCATGTGGTCCAGCCTGAGTCCTCCTCAGAGACACCTCTGTCCTGTAAGCAGCGCCCTTTCTTTCCCTGTAGGGCAGAGGTACACCAATGCCCACTTTAAGGGCCTCAGACTGATGTCTCTGGCACAGCTGTTTCTCTCCAAGAGCCACAGGATTTCCCTTTCCGCGCCATTCTTGCATCTTGCCACGGAGAACTGTGGTCCAACAGCTTGGATTGTTCAGAGTCTGTGGCTCTGGGGAAGGCTGGACGGATCTACGAGCAGGAGGCTTATCAAGAGCAGGGTTGGTGTGCCGTATCTGTCTCGTAGCAGAGGTGTGGTCAAGGGAGTTCCAAGGGGCTAATGGGTGCCTGTCGAGCCGGGTTCTTTCCTTCATGCCAATGGGGAACCCAAAGGCGAACCCCAACGCTTCCCGCCTTCTCCCCCCTCTAGGTCTACGAAACGGAGCTGGAGAATGTCGAAGACTTTGGCGGTCTCTCCGATTTCTGCCACACCTTCAAGCTTTACCGGGGCAAGACTCAAGACGACAACGAAGACCCGACAGTCGTGGGGGAATTCAAGGTTGGTCAACCCTTCTCCTTTGAGAGAGGTGGCTGAGTCTCTGGAGAAGAGGGTTCCTTGAAATGTATGGACCTTGGATGCTCAGACCCTCTGGAAGCCGTTGAGCAAATGCAGATGGGTGCCTTTGAGCATGCCTACGGAGAGAATGCCACGAGGAACCCCCTTGGGTTCAACGGGACTTGCATACAGGTTGATTTACCAGAGTCCCACTAGTTCAGTGAGTGGGTCTACTCTAACTGGGATGGTTCAATGGCTTGAGGTCTGGTGTGTGTGTGTGTGTTTGTTTATGATGGTGGTTTCAAACCACATAACCTCCTGTCTATAGAACTTGCCTAGTGTTGCTCTTTCTTTGCCACTGGTGTGTCTGTGAGTCTACCGGCAGTGATGTAGTACCAATCTGCTTGATGCCTCCTGTGCAGTGGGCATCTTTCAGCGGTCTCTGTGACGACCTGTGCGTTGGGTTGGACATTTTTTCACCCACACCTGATGGCCTTCTGCAGTACGTAGGGCCCTTCTAGGCTGCTAAGACATTCCAACCCAGAGCGAACGGGGAGGGGCATCTCCCAGGAGGCAGAACACCTCTGTGCTCTACCTGGAAGCAAGGTGCCACCACCTGAGGGCAATTCCTTGACCAAAGACTCAAAGGTGCATCATTTTGGGGTGCTATTAGCCCCACCTCCGTCATTCCGATTGCTAGGTGTTATGGCAAAATCCAGTCAAAAACGTGGACCAGCGGGCATCCATCAGTGTTAATTTCAGCTCCAAATTGCTGCTACAGTAGCTTAAGAAGCCAGCGTAGGCATTTACCGTCACACTCTGAGTCGTGCCCCTGGTGTGCAATACCAAATGCTGACACGCACGGCTGAACTCGTGGCAGTTCACAGCTGAGATTTACGTCCATAGGCTGGACACCCGCTGGTTCAACTTATAGATTTCTGGCCACTGTATGCCAGGAACGGTGGCATTTGTCACTCGGAGATATACCTCCCTGCGGTGGCTGCGCCAATAGCTGCTGCAGCTGGCATATTGATTCTTCTTCTTTTCCTGTTGACACCCCACCCCACCCCAAAAAACCTGACATTCCCATGATGCTGAGAGCTATACCACCGCTCCCATCCATGACTCATTTCTGCACTTGCATGGCATGGTG